GATTCCATAAGAAACTACAATTTGTGAAAGTAAAGATCAAGGAGTGGAATCTTTTGGAGTTTAGGAGGATAGAAGAAAGAAAGAGGACTTTGATGGATCAATTTGAAAGCCTTGACTCTAAAGAAGAAAGGGGAGAATTTGGAGAGGAAGATAAGGAACTCAGGAGAGGCTTGAGAAGACAGTCAGAGGATTGCTTGCATAAGGAGGAAATAAGCTGGAGGCAAAAATTTCGTGTAACATGAGGGTGACAGAAACACTAGGTATTTTCACTCTTTGGCAGATGGAAGGAGGAGGAATTTTATCTCCAAATTGGTAGTAGGTGGAGTTGAGTTAACACAACAAGAGGAGACAACAGGGGCTTGTGTGGAGCACTTTAAATCCATTCTAAGATGGCCAGTAAGTGGAAGGGTGTGGGTAGAAGGATTGGATTAGCTAGAGGTAGGGGTGGAGAACAAGAGAAGGTTGGAAAGCATATTTGATTTGGAAGAGATAAAGGAGGYTGTGTTTTCTATGGATAGAACAAAAGCTCTAGGGCCGGATGGGTTTACAATGGCTTTTAATCAGGACTGTTGGGATATTTTGAAAGATGATCTTTTGTTGGTGTTTGAGGAATTTTTCAAGAGAGGAATTATCAATCCGGGTGTGAACTCTATATTTATAGCTTTGATTCCAAAAAAGAAAGATGCTTCCCACTTGAAGGATTTTAGGCCAATTAGCTTGGTAAATAGCCTGTATAAGATCATTGCTAAGGTGTTGTCTTTGAGGCTGAAGGAGGTTTTGCCAGACATCATCGCCCAAAATCAGGGAGCTTTTGTGAGTGGAAGACAAATCATTGATCAAATCTTAATTGCTAATGAGAGTGTGGAGAACTTTAAGAAGGATAAAAAGAAGGGAGTGGTCTGTAAGTTGGACTTGGAAAAGGCTTTGACTTGGTGGACTGGGAATTTTTTAGGAAAGTTTTGATGAAATTTGTGTTTGGGCTAGATGGTGTAATTGGATCATGGRYTGCGTCTGGAATTGTCATTATTCAGTGTTAGTGAATTGGACAGTGGTAAATTTCTTTTCAGCTAGTAGGGGTATAAGACAAGGAGACCCTCTCTCTTCTTTCTTGTTCATACTAATTGCAGAGGTTCTGGGAAAATTGATTCACAGAGCAGAAACCCCCTCATTCATTCATTAGAGGTTGGAGAGTTGGGAGGGCGGAAACCCCCTCATTCATTTACATTTTGTTGATGACACGATTCTGTTCTATGAAGGTGGTAATGTGAGCTCTATCAAGAACTTGAAGTTGGTGATACAACTGTTTGAGCAAATGTCAAACTTGAAGGTGAACATTGGGAAAAGTTGTGTAGTGGGGGTGAATATGGAGGAGGGAGAGATTAGCGAGAGTGCAGAAGTGTTGGGGTGTGAAGTTTAAGGGTGGCCATTGAATTATTTAGGGTTGCCATTAGGCGATAACCCTATGAGGGAGAGCTTTTGGAACCCGGTGGTGGAAAGGTTTGAAAAGAGATTGGTCTCTTGGAAAAAGAATTACCTCTCTCTTGGCGGAAGAATTACATTGATTAAGGCCATGCTTGCTAATTTACCCATCTATTTCCTATCTGTGTTCAAAATCCCAGTGAAGGTGTCTAACAGATTGGAGAAGTTGATGAGAGATTTTCTRTGGGAGCCAGGATAGGAGAAAAGGGATCATAGAGTCAGTTGGGAGGTAGTGTCCAGGAGTAAACTTGTGGTGGTTTGGGGATTGGGAATATTAGAAGGAATATGGCTCTTTTAGGGAAGTGGTTGTGGAGGTTCCCCTTGGAGAAGGAGAAGCTATGGGCTAGAATAGTGGCAAGTATACATGGGTTGGAGCACAATGGTTGGGATGCTGGAATCAGAGCTAGGACCACAAGCTTTTCTCCTTGGAAAGTCATTCACGATCTGCTTCCAGTTTTCTCCCCTAATATTAGGTATGATCTGAATTCCAGTAACTCCATAAAATTTTGGGAACAAACTTGGGTGGGGAATGCCCCTCTAAAGGATCAGTTTCTTTGTATGCTCTATCTGATCTTAAAAATGAGCCAATTTCATCCTTCTTTACCCTATCCTCTTCCACTTCTGGGCTTGGGTGGAATTTGGGTCTAAGAATGACTTTGAGGGATTCAGACTTCGACAATATTTTCAGCCTTCTTGAACTCCTTGATAACGTTGTCTTAGATCCCACAAGGGTGGATTCTAGAATTTGGACCCCTACCCCCACTGGCTTTTCTTCTTGTGCTTCCTTTTTCAAAGTCTTAAGCCAGTCCACCAGTCTTGGAACCCCCCCTTTCCCTGTTGATGAGGTTTGGTGTAGAGCAATCCCTCCTAGGGTTGGTAGTTTTTGTTGGGAAGCCTATCTGGAAAGATTCAACATTGGTGATCTACTCCAAAAGAAGAGACCCAATACTTTTTTGTCACCCCATTGGTGTGTTCTATGTAAAGTGGATGGGGAGACTGGTTTTCACTTACTGGTGTCTTGCCATTTTGTGAGGTCAATTTGGGAATGGGCTTTTTCCCTCTTTAGGTTTAGGTGGAACCCTCCATCAAATCTGCAGGGCCTTTTTTCCCCTTCTTTCTTTAGGTGGCATAGGAAAAGGGGAAGGACTATGCGGAAGGGGACTGAGGGCTGCAATATGTTGGACATTATGGGAAGAAAGAAACTTCAGGATATTTTTAGAAGCTGAGAGAGGGGTGGAAGACCTAAAGGCTGTCATTCATATTAGGGCTATCCAATGGCTGAAATCTTTGGAACTATTCACAAATTACACGGTGGATGACATGTTGAGGAAGTGGGGTGAAATAGCAGAATTTACCCAGACCAAGTTAGTAATGAGCGTGTATTGGACCCCTCCACCTACTGGATTCATGAAATTAARCTTTGATGGGAGTAGTAGGGGGAACCCTGGACAATCAGGGATTGGTGGTGTCTTTAGGTATGAGAATGGGGTCATTTTTGCCATGTTCTCAGACCCAATTGGAGTGGGTGACTCCCTTAGAGTTGAGATCTTTGTAGTTATGGAAGGAGTCCAGAAAGCTAAGGAGATGAACATCAGAAAACTCCTAATTGAAGGGGATTCGGAGGTGGTGATAGGGTGGCTGAATGCAAACAGCAATGGTTTGTGGAAGTACAACAATCAGAGGAGGAAATTTAAGTGGCTGGTGCGGGAGATGGAAGTTAAGATGTGTTGGGTTAAAAGGTCAGCCAATTCTCTAGCTAATGGTTTAGCTAAACAAGGGGCAGAAAGGGATTTAATGTTTTGGGTGAAGTTGTAACTTTATTGTCTCTTCCTATTCTTTTGTTTTCTTGAGGACCTTTGTTGTTTTTGGAAGATAAGTGTGTTTGTCTTCCTTATGTAACCTTTTTGGTGAATTAATGAAATTGTTATTGATAAAAAAAAAAATTGTTTAGGAGACATACTCACAGAAGTTAAATGTTGATAGGGCCTACAAATTGAAGAATGATAAGAATAGTTTGAGATAGGGGGAGAAGCCATTAGCTACATATTTCTTAATATTGAAGTCTATGTGGTAGGAAATTGATTTGATGGAGACAGTTCAATGGGGATGCACAAAAGATGCTGAAACTCATAGGAAATTGGTGGAGAGGGTTCAGGTTTTTGAGTTCCTAATCGGGCTCAATCCTGAGTATGATATAGTCAGACAGAATGTGTTATCTAAGGATGAGGTGACCCTTTCTCAGGCTTATTCTATGGTTAGTAGTGAGGAGAGTAGGACACAGGTTCAGATTGTGGAGACCCCAGTGGAACACCTTGCTAATGCTGGGACGAAGCACAAGGGTGGTATCGAGAGAAAGGAGGTTGTGTGTGAATACTGCAAGAAGCCAAAGCACACAAAAGATATCTATTGGAAGTTACATCTAGAGCTCCTACCCCCCAGATTCAACAATAATAATAACAATGATAGAAAGAATGGGAATGGGAAAGGAGGCAAGGCTAATGTTGCCACCTCTTCTGATGGTGAGAAGGGGTAATGTGATGAGAAGTTTGTAGGGGAACAACTTTCTGGAGTCTACTTTAGCTTCCACTCTACCCAGTAACAGCTCTACCTCTGCCTATGCTCACTCAGGTATTCATGCTATTGCGAATCATGCTTCTATCTCAGGTAATCGTAGGATACCCTGGATAATAGCTTCTGACCATATGACTAGTGCTTTCACTTTATTCATTACTTACCAACTCTTATCTAGTTGTGACAAAATGTCTCTTACTGATGGTTCTCTTGCCCCCATCTCGGGAAAGGGGGAGGTTAGAACTTCAGACTCCCTTACTTTGACTTATTTGCTTCATGTACCTAAACTTAATACCAACTTACTTTCAGTTAGTAATTTGACTAAATATCTGAACTGCAGTGTAACCTTCTTTCCATCTTATTGTGTTTTTTAGAACATGAAATCTCAGTAGGTGATTGGAAGTGGCCATGAGGCGAATGGGATATATCTGTTAGGCATGCCTAAATAGAGCCGAGTACTACCTCATAAATCAGCTTTTAGATCTACAGTTTCAGAGTCAGTTAGTCGTGTCATGTTGTTATCATTGTTTGTGTCATCTGTCTTTTTTTTTATCTAAAAGCTTTTATTTCCTACACAATTTGAAGGAGGCGGTCTATCGAGTCTACACTGTGAGTCCTGTGAGTTTTCAAAACATCGTAGAACCTCTTATCCAACAAGTAATAAAAGATCCATTTTCCATTTAACATTGTTCAATTTGATGTGTGGGGGCGTTACCATTTACCTTGCATGGGAAACTATAAATATTTTATTTTGTTCATTGATGACTTCTCTCATTACACTTGGTTGTATCTTATGCGTTCATGTGCTGAAGTGTCTAAACTTGTTCACTTTGATGGTTTTGCAACATTCAGTTTGTTTGCTTTCCCTTGGTATCACTATATTTTGCAAATTCTGTTTTTAAATTGTTTCACTAATTTATATTCAATAACTCCTATTTTAATTTTGGCAGGACATTGTGCTTATCTTGATGTGGAAAATGCAATGGACCCATCATTGGCAGAATCTATAGGTGTAAACATGGATAGTTTTCTTATTGCACGTCCAATCTCTGCTGAGAARTCGTTAAGTGTAGTTAATACATTGGTCAAAAGTGGATCTCTGGATGTTATTGTGGTGGATAGTGTAAGTACTACTTTCCTCTCTTAATTTTGGGAAAAGAATCATATGATTAGTATCGATTTATGAGGGTTAGTGGCTGGCTTAAGTGGGGAATGTGCCAAAAACTGCATCAGTATGCTTACAAGTTACAACTATGTGTTTGGTATCCATTGCTTTGTCAGCATGGAGATCTCGACCTTTGGCTTAAAAGTTGATCCTCATGATCTTAAGATCTTTTTCTATTTCATTTAAAATTGAWAAGGAAGATGACTCAGCCTTATTTCCTCGTGTTTGGTTTAGAAAAAAGTATTGTGTACGGAAATGGAGAAAGACAACTGAACCATGACAAAAGTTTTGAATTTTAAGGTTATTCTTCTGACTTGTTTTTTGTTGTGTTATTCAGTAATGAGAAAAGATATGTCAGATTTCTTTTTATATTGTTGACTTTTCTGGATTGCCATTACTTCAGTTCTTGTTTTYTCAGTCATTTTTAACTTAGTAGTAAGTCAGGAAAGCTTTGATCAATGAAGAAAAAAAAGGAATTTACTAACAAGTCCAACAAAAACATAGTAACTCAGAATAGGTCCAAGCAGTGATTTAAAAGGTGCACTTTGGGTGCAGCTTGGCACATTGTAGGGTATGCACCTCGCCTAGGCCCTAGGCACAGCACTTTCAAAAGGTGTGTGCCTGGTGTGCCTAAGCGTGCTCTGAAAACCCCCTATTTGCTAATATGGACTTGTTTGGGCTTGCCTCGAGGGGCTTGGTACAAAGGCAGCTCGTAAAATCAGGAATGCATAATGTTAAACATCACATCAGCTAGTTGAAGTAATACAATTGGGGAAAAAATAAATAGATCGAGTCTTACATGCTTGAATATGTTTATATGTTATGCTTGATTTTATTTTAAATTTTCATTTTAAACATGTTTTGCATGTTATGTTTATGCATTTTAATTTGAGATAATAGGTTGCTAATACAACGTGACTTCTTCTGGCTATGTCATAAAGCTCACAAAGGAGGAATTAATAACCAGCATTTTATAGATAGTGACTGATTAATAACCAGCATTTTATAGATAGTGACTGATTATACAACCAGACCAAGGTGCGAGCTCGAGAAGCTCGCTACTCACTAGCTCGCTACCAAGCAGCCGGGTATCTCGCAGATAGCCCATCTACCGTACAGAGCTCCGCGTGGCCACCTCGAGGAATGCACCCCCCTTTTTCCTGAACCCCACTGGACCGTACTTATAACGGTAACATTAGTTCACCAACTCCCCGTTCTGGCGGGAAGTGACAGTATTACCGTTTGGCGGCGCTTCAACCACCTAACACGCGACAGGTCCCATCGTAACAGGGGTTCAGTGACCGTTCCACCTACCCACCTGAGCCAGTGTATAAAAGACCCTGCACTCACCTGGGGCAGAGGTATGTTCTATTACTATTATTGATTGTGCGAAATCTCTACTCTCTGAGCTCTCATTGTTATCATCTCCAAGCTCTACACTATCATTGTGTTCTAACTTAGCCATCGGAGTATCCACCCCGGGTGAGTCACTCGGGGATCTCTGAGCTCCTCTCTTCCAGGAACCCGTTCTCGTCGTCGTTGGAAGCCAGGTCACCTCCAGCAGGGAGTAGCCAGATTACGCCACATCAATTGGCGCCGTCTGTGGGAACCTCTTACAAAAAGCTTTTTTTTTTTCCTCCCTTTCTGAACACCTAGAAAACTCAGAAATCAAACCTATGGCCTCTTCCAGCAATGCCGAACAACTTAGGGAAACGAATGCCTCCGGGGGACAACTTCAGCCCCCAATTGTTTGTGTAGGCCAGTTCACTATACTGCTTCCCACTGATGGGATCCCAGCACCTGTGGTGGCTGAACCATTTGGGCCTGGGAGCACCCCATTCCCTCCCGTAGTAGCCCCAACTTTCGTGGAACCATCCATAGCTCCCCCGGGAGCAGGACAAAACCAACTAAACGACCTAGTATACTGCGTACGGGCTATGCAAGCCCAAATGCAGCAGGTCCAACAGTTCCAACAATACCAACAACAAGTTCTGCACTACATGTACCAGCAGCAGTTTCCACCACTGCGGCAAAACCAGCAACCTACCCCACCTCAGTGCCCAATCACCTCGAGCAAGCTTCACTGCCAAGGCAGCCGCCCTGACCAGGAGGAAACYTCCCAGGCCTCGTCTCGCGGCAGAAAAGAGAAACAAGTCCACCCCACCTCACTCCAAGTGACCAGGTCGAAAGATACTCGACTCACTAGAGTCAACCCACCTCGGCCTTCACGACCTGAAGGCCTTCTTGCAAAAAATCGGTTCGGAGTCCTAGCTGAGGACTCCAGGCAGGGCCTCTCAGCCTGCAACAGCCGGCAGTCCGAGTCACACTCGACCAAAGCACCATCAGACAATACGGAGGTCAGCAACACYGCTGCGGAACCATCCGAGCAGCACCGAAGGCCTACCGAAGCATCCACCAAACCTKAGCAGCATAAAGGTAGGGCCCGAGTAAGCTCGAAGGTCACCAAAACCGCTCCCCTCCTTTCTGTACTCTCTCCGCTATCCCCCGAGCTCCTAGCTTCCCCGATGCCAACAAACTTTAGGGTTCCTCCCCTGGACAAGTATGATGGGTCTTTCGACCCCAATGACCACGTAGACTCGTTCGAGTCCCAGATGCATCTCGCCGGGGCTGACGAGGCCTGTATGTGCGTCGCCTTCTCCACGACTTTCAAAGGAGTAGCCCGCACTTGGTATAGAAACATTACGCCTGGGTTGGTTAAAAGCTGGGCGCATCTCGTACAATTATTCACCTCGTACTTCATCACCAGTAAGAAGTCCCGAGGTCACAAGAAAGCATCTTCAATATAGTCCAAAGGGAAGGAGAGTCAATCAGAAGCTACATCAAACGCTTCAACGACACCTGCCTGCTGATCCTGGACTTAGACCCAGCTGTGAGACTTGTGGCAGCCAAAAAGGGGATTACTCACAGAGAATTTAAATGGCACGTGGTTGCAAACAAACCCAAGGACATTACAGAGTTCCTGAAGCTCGCGGTTCAGTTCATTGGCACTGAAGAAGAAATGAACCACGACCGAAGCCCCAGCGGAGAAAAGGAAAAGGGAAGACCACAACTCGAACAAAGGAGTCGACAAAAGAAAGAAAAACAGGTCTCCTGTCCGGCCTTGTTTGGGGGAACATGTCAGATTTCCACCCCCGAGCTCCCCCGGTTGAAAGAACGAGCTTCACACCCCTCAACGCGAAGCATGGGGAAATTCTCATGGCCATAAAGGATGCCTCCTTTGTAAAGTGGCCACCCAGGTTGAGAAGCGACCCGACCCATAGAAATAAAAATGTATATTGTCATTTTCACAAGGACCATGGTCATAGCACTGAAAACTGTAAGAACCTCCGCGACGAGATTGAGGAACTCATCCGTCGCGGGTACCTGAGGAACTTTGTACAAAGAAGTAATAAAGGCTAGACAGACCAACGAGGGGAGCAAAAGGAAGACGCTCCCGAGTCCAGTAGCAGGTCAAGTGAACAGCGACAATTGCTTGAGGAAAGACCAGTTCGCGGAGTAATCAATACGATCACCGGTGGGTCGGTTGTTGCGGGCTGTTCCACGACAACAGGAAAGATTTCTGCTCGCGAGCTAGAACATGAGGAACAGAACCCTCCAAAGCGGCCGCAAACTGAGGACCCTATATTCTTTACCAAGGACGACGCGCGAGGGATTCAATACCCCCACGACGATGCGCTGGTCATCAGAATGAAGATCAACGACTTCGAAGTCAGGCGCATCCTGGTAGATTCGGGAAGTTCGGCCGATATCCTGTTCAGAAGCACCTTCGACAANGCTGCGGAACCATCCGAGCAGCACCGAAGGCCTACCGAAGCATCCACCAAACCTTAGCAGCATAAAGGTAGGGCCCGAGTAAGCTCGAAGGTCACCAAAACCGCTCCCCTCCTTTCTGTACTCTCTCCGCTATCCCCCGAGCTCCTAGCTTCCCCGATGCCAACAAACTTTAGGGTTCCTCCCCTGGACAAGTATGATGGGTCTTTCGACCCCAATGACCACGTAGACTCGTTCGAGTCCCAGATGCATCTCGCCGGGGCTGACGAGGCCTGTATGTGCGTCGCCTTCTCCACGACTTTCAAAGGAGTAGCCCGCACTTGGTATAGAAACATTACGCCTGGGTTGGTTAAAAGCTGGGCGCATCTCGTACAATTATTCACCTCGTACTTCATCACCAGTAAGAAGTCCCGAGGTCACAAGAAAGCATCTTCAATATAGTCCAAAGGGAAGGAGAGTCAATCAGAAGCTACATCAAACGCTTCAACGACACCTGCCTGCTGATCCTGGACTTAGACCCAGCTGTGAGACTTGTGGCAGCCAAAAAGGGGATTACTCACAGAGAATTTAAATGGCACGTGGTTGCAAACAAACCCAAGGACATTACAGAGTTCCTGAAGCTCGCGGTTCAGTTCATTGGCACTGAAGAAGAAATGAACCACGACCGAAGCCCCAGCGGAGAAAAGGAAAAGGGAAGACCACAACTCGAACAAAGGAGTCGACAAAAGAAAGAAAAACAGGTCTCCTGTCCGGCCTTGTTTGGGGGAACATGTCAGATTTCCACCCCCGAGCTCCCCCGGTTGAAAGAACGAGCTTCACACCCCTCAACGCGAAGCATGGGGAAATTCTCATGGCCATAAAGGATGCCTCCTTTGTAAAGTGGCCACCCAGGTTGAGAAGCGACCCGACCCATAGAAATAAAAATGTATATTGTCATTTTCACAAGGACCATGGTCATAGCACCGAAAACTGTAAGAACCTCCGCGACGAGATTGAGGAACTCATCCGTCGCGGGTACCTGAGGAACTTTGTACAAAGAAGTAATAAAGGCTAGACAGACCAACGAGGGGAGCAAAAGGAAGACGCTCCCGAGTCCAGTAGCAGGTCAAGTGAACAGCGACAATTGCTTGAGGAAAGACCAGTTCGCGGAGTAATCAATACGATCA